ACACACACACACACACACACACACACACACACACACACACACACACAGCTCAAATCACACACTCTCCCACTCCGTCATCACCCTCCTTCTACTCATCCTCCACCCCCCCCACCCCCCCAGCCACCACCAGCACCGCCGCCACTCTCCCTGGAGTGCAAGCCCGAAAGGAGGAAAGGATGAAGGATGAGGAAAGAAAGGAAAATGTCAGACAAGCGGCAGTTTGAGGGGATGGGGGGAACGGAAAGATAAAAAGAATGACAGAGCAAGGAGTAGGAGGTAGGATGGAGAGGGTGATAGTTTGAGAGAGAGGAGGGCTGGGGGGTAGATAGAGTGGAGGAGGTGGAAGAGGAGGAGGAGGGGTGATGGTGGATAGAAAGGAGGTCACGTGACCACATAGCAGCTGCAAGGCTGAGAGGGGGAGAGTGAAAGAGTCTCACACACAGGAGCAGAAAGGCGACGAGCAGGAGGGTGAGTGTTTGCATGTTTGATTTATGTTCATATCCATACTTTAGTGTGTCTGCGTGTGTGTGTGAGTGTGTGTTCTGCTGATTGTGCTTGGAAGTGACGTGGCTAAACATCAAAGCCCGTGAGAAAAGATTGCAAAAAGAAAAGGAAGAAAGAAAACAGGAGACAGAGAGGAGATTGTGCGCGCCTGGCTTTTGTTTCAAAAGCTCAAGTCTGCTGAAATAAACATGGAGGAGAAGGAGAGGAGACAAAAGGAGGAGAAGAGTGAGAGTGCAGGGAGGAGGGAGGAGGAGAAGGAGTCGATAGAAACTGTCTTATCATCTCTCCCTTGACTGCTGGGCTCAGCACACACACACACACACACACACACACGAGTGTGTCAGGATCTTTCTGGTCCATGTTTTATTTTAACGTGTTTTTAACACTCACAGAAGTAAACATGAAGAAAAGAGCTCCATTAGACCATAGAGAAACTCTTTAATCTGTGACTGTTAACTGCTCTACCTTTTTATTATTGTTATCAAATCCTCAGATTATTCTGCCGTAATCTGCCTTTTAAACTTCTGTGTCCAGAGGACGTCTTCTGTCTGTCCTGTGTTCAGCTCCACTTTGTGCCTGTTTAGTTTTAAGAGCAGGCCACCCTCACTTCATCTGGTCCCTCCGCAGTGTGTTTGTGTGGCATGTGAAGGCTCCAGTCCAAGCAGACATCTGTAAATATGAGAGCTGATACTTTAACAGGCCCTGACACTTGACTGTCCTTTCTGCTGATCAGCACCGTCAGGGTGAGGAGCAGACCACTCCATAATCGTGTCCGATGATGCGCCTTTATGAATTTTTCATGAGTGTGTTTGCTGCTTTAGGTCTTTGTTTGTTCTTGTGGTTTGTGTGCTTTAAAGGTGTTTGCATGTTTTGGTGGGTAATGAGGTCATTCATGGCTATAGCAAGGGGGACAAATGGATGGGGGGGGGGCTAATTCCAGCTGTAATTAACATTAGCGGGTCAGTATGATGGTGGAAAAAGAAGCTGGGGGGTTACTCTTAACTTCACCTTTAAGCACATTGATGTTGGTTATGAGCGTGCACACTTGGATCTCTCTGGGTTTTAAAAGCCAGCGATACTTAATAAAACGTGCGTGTAGACACTCCCGGGGTCTTAAGACGTGTCGGCTGGCTCCCTGGAGGAAATGGACATGTGTGCTCTCATGTGTGTGATTTGCTATTAAGGTCAGCCCTCTATTTGACACAGCGCTACGCCCTCCACCCTGTCTGTGGTGGAGCCGGCCTACTCACTATCATGCCTAGACATAAACACACTCACGCTGAAGATACCAGTTGTGTATAAATCTGGAAGGTCTACTTTGTGGAAGTCTCATTGAGCTTTTTGGGACACTTGAGCAGTCAGTGTTTTATGATGCGACATGAAATATTAAAGCTCCTCAAAATGTTCTTCCCACTCTCCTCAGGTATGAACCATGAATCCAATAAATCACCATCATTAGGAATGATCTCCACGGCAACTCGCACCACAGCTACAGTCAGTCCCCTCAGCCCACTAACCAATGGGAACGCGGTTGCCCAGTCTGCAAACTCCGGATTCGCTGCTGCCCTTCGTAAACTGGCCAAACAGGCCGAAGATCCCAGAGGTGAGTGGTGCTCCGACCGTCTCTTGAGGAGTAAAACAGCCCCATATACACCAAATGGGCAACATTTTTTTAAAGAGACAGTTAAGGTCTTTTAAAGTGGAAAAGTCATGAATAATTAATATCTTACCTGTTGTAGATAAAGTTTAATTCTGGTTGGATTGAGTGGCTCATAGATCAGGACTGAAGTGGTTTGCTGTCGTCGTAAAACAACTCCATTACCAAACATTTCACAGCGATTCATGCTAACTCAATTTCATAATAAGGCTCCCCTTAGTGATGGCTAATAAAAAGTGTGTAGATATGTGATTAATTCCTCAATAAACACTTTATAAATCATTAATAATGGTTTATTATGCATTAAGTAAGGGTGATGGAGACAAAACTGACCAGTTTCTTGCCAAAAAGTGAGCCAAATCTGTTCACCTACATATTTCATCTAGAGTTGTTCTATTAAACATTTCTCACTAAGTTACGACCTTGTAAGCACAATAAACATTTGTAAATTAATTTTTTTAGGATATAATATTTGTTGTGGATACTTATAATGCAGTGATAAAGTACAATATTATAAGCTAAATAATTAGGTTTACATATGTTTATTGTGCTTACAAGGTAATAACTTGGTCTGAAATGTTTAATAGAACAACTTTAGATGAAATATATAGGTGAACAGATTTGGCTCACTATTTGACAAGAAACTGGTCAGTTTCGTCTCTCTGTCACCCTTAATTAATGCATAATAAGCAGTTATTAATGATTTATAAAGTGTTTATAAGAATTAATAACATGTCTATAAACTATTTATTAGCCATCTGTAAGGGGAGCCTTATTTTAAAGTGGTACCAAAAAGGACTATGATATTGCTGCAGAAGTGATGTTGTATCAAGATGGCAGCAATATTTGGTCTGGGCTAGTCATTAGTTTGTCTATTTGGCGAGAATTAAACTGTTCTCCAGACTGAGGCTGTTTAGGAACTATATTTATTTATTTAACCTTTTTTTTATAAAGGTAGTCTAATTGAGTCAAGGTTGAGTCATTAATTGTTCAGTCCCTTTCCACAGAACCACACTTAAAAGCTCTGAACTGTTTAATACTGATATCATTTTAGATATAAAGGTGTGAGCTCAGATATTTTGCTTGTTTGTTGCCTTTGTTTTCTGGTCCTTGCATAAGAACATGAAATAGGCATCAATCCTTTTATGTAACTCTGGGTAAAGATAATGGCTGGATGGATGTGCTGCAAAGCTAAAAAGCATATCTTCCAAGCCTGTCCCATCAATAAGTGTATTGATGGCTGAAAATAGATCATTTCACAAAACCAAGCTTGTGTTTTTGTGCATTAATGTGAAGCCCGACCGCCTGGTAGCTCCCTCAGCTCGCAGCGGTCTTAATGAAGGTGTTTGATAAGAGCTGACCAGCTCTGACCTCTCCCTCTCTGTCTCCTCCTCCATTCGTTTCCATTTATCTCCCAATTATATGAATCTAATTACAGCCAATTATAAGAAGCTTTCCATCTCCGTCATGCCTTCTCTTTCTGCAGCTCCACACCAACTTTCTCTCCCTCTCAGTATTTCCTCCTAATCCTTTCTCTGCCTCTGAATGTGTTTGTGTGTCGCTGTAAGAGGAACTCTCTCTAACACCTCCCTTCAGTGTCACACCCCATCCTCTTTTTGATAGATTCCTTTCTATGACATCTTTCGTTTTGCTCTCTCTTCATCTGATTTTTGCCCTTTTTCATGCAAACTCTCATATATTCCTTCTCATATTTAGTCTTTTTCTTCCTGTTTTATTTCACACACGTGCTGTTTATCATAATCACTTTTTAACTCTTTGCACAGTTGAACACTTTTTTGTTTTTAAACGATTTTATTCTGATCAGTTCTGTCGCTCTGTGCCCCGTCAGGTTCTGCCGTTAACGGAGAATCGTCTCCAGTCTCCTCCCCGGCCACCAATCACAGCTCGCCGGTCTCCACCCCTAAGCGCGGCTCATTAGGGCCCCTTTTGGGTCAGAACAGGGGCCACGGAGTACCAAGCACCCCTCCCGTGGTCACCATTGCGCCCACCAAGACCAGCAACGGCCTGTGGAGGGCTGAGGGACGGCAGGTAAGAGACGTTGTTTGTCAGCCACGTGCTGGCGTTGAGGACAGGTCTGAGAGGGGACATCCGCTGGGATCTCTGCGCTCTTTGTCCCTGCGGGTTTCCTCCTTCTCTGCCGAGCAGATGAGCGGCCGGCCGCTCGCTCTCCTTTCATCGTTTAGCTACTGCTCCCTCGTGCTCGTTGGGATCCAGCTAACAAGACCAGCCATCCCACCATTTCCTTCTTCATCCGTCCCTTCCTGCCTCCCTCCATCTCGTCTCACATTCTCGTTTTCATGCTCCTTCCCCTCCCCCCCTCACTAATCAGTCCGTGTCTTTTCCAGCAACACGAGGGGTTTGTAAAGAAACGCAGGAGGCTGCAGAGGCTGGCACCTATTGTGATCCACTTCCTGTGGTGTGTGTGTGTGTGTGTGTGTGTGTGTGTACTTGACCCTTCACTACAAAAGACTTTGGACATGAAGAGGTTTCTGTCTGTGTGTGTGTGTGTTTGCTCGTGGGTGAATAAGCTGGGGCGATGAACCAGGCCCCTCACACAATGCCAAGGTTAGCCCCCACAGTAGCCACTTCCCCCTGGATCAGAGCTGCCTTTCTCCCCCCTTCACAAAGAGCACTCTGTGGGCTCTGCCTGCCCGAGGCTC